AAGAATTATGGTATACTTAAGTATAGTGCTTGAAGTCTGTAACGAAACAGATCAGCCTAGTAAGTAGAGTTGCCTGTTTCTGATGAGTATACTGATTCAAATCAGTCTGATTAAAAATAGGAAAAAAGTGCTTTTGGTACTGTTGCTGTCATACATTATAAGATAGCGATAAGTATGTTTGGTGTTTATTTCTAGATTGTACATCTATCACTGACCATATTTCATGATCACTGTCATTAAACAATTTCCCCAGCAATAACATCGGTAGCAGGATAGCTAAGTATCTGAGCTTTTATTTGCCCGTAGAAGAGCAGTATACAGTCTTAGAAGATGAGTGTTCTGTATTTCAATTAAATGCAGTTGGCTGTGGACAAATGTTAAGAATCTTTTTGACAACTAAGTTTTTTAGTTCATCAAACACTAACTCTGCTTGTATGTCTCCCTGTTAAACTAGATGCAGATACATGGTAATACTTAAATGAGAGCAAAATAATAAAAGCATTGAGATACGGTATTAAGTCCATGTTATGCTTTGCACAATAAATAGCTGACCTGACCTAATATTCATGAACTAAAGGTAAATCACAACTGCATAAATTCTTTGCTAAAATACATGTAATTTGGTTATTTATCTATTCCACATTTCTGACTAAATTCATTACTGTTTTCTCATTTAGAATGCAACAGGACTGAGTCTTCACAGATATTAAGAAATGTTTCGCCCTTAGAACTATGGATCTGTTTACGGGAGACCCAACTAACAGCAGATTATAAAAAGGATGCTGGATGTCCATTTTAATCTCACAACCACTTCCAGTACTTTTTGAGTTACTTCTTTTACCCTTTCGTTTGGAAAAAACAACGAAAACTGCAGCTTAACATTACAAATGCAACTTTTAGACTGGAACTTGGTTTAAACCTTTGTTTCATATTCGATTCTTAATGAAAGTTTTCGAATAAATTTTTGAACCTAATGCTACTTTGTTTTATCTACTTAATCGTTGCAAGAAACTTGTGATAATCGAGCCTCTCATCACCTAATTCATGTGTTCAGGCTTCCGTGTCTATTAGCAGGGGATCACCAAAACCTCCAAGCAGGAACCTAGGTATGTTAACAATAAAAGATCCAGTCGCCTCCCAAAGGACTCCTGGGAAGTCGCTTGGACTAGTTCGGCGAGCAGCGAATTCCAGCATTTGACAACTCTTAAGGAGTAGAAGTTGCGTCTACAGTCCATTCTGCTATGTCGTGTCTCTAGTTTCTGGGACTAAGCTCAAATAGGTGTTTAAGAAAATGTCCAGAAGTGTTAAGGATCCTGTAAGTAAATAGGTCACCTCTAAGACGTCTATACTTTAATGAGTAGAGGTTAAGTGATTGGAGGCGCTCTTCATAAGGTGATTTGGTGCATATCTCCGTCACTTTTTTAGGAAACCTACAGGCTCGGGTCCTCTCACAACTTATTCTAGCCACCGTGAGTTGCCACGAAAACTGATGGATGGACACGCGTTACACATCCTAACCGTCTCTGCATCTAATCTCATAGCTTCTTATTCAAATGTCATATGATAAGCGAGTAATGCTTCTACCGACACTAATGGAACGCGAGTAATTCAAAGGCACCCTGTATGGTACTTTACATTGGTCTACGCACTCACTTAGCTCTTTAGTGGGAATATTACTACAGTCCTGCTAAAAAACCCATGAACCTCCCTACCACCATCAAAACAATAAGTCTGTATTTGCTGCATATAGCAATTTTATTTTTCAGAATATATAACAGTAAGAATTGGAGTAAAATAACAATATACAACAGATGCACGTGGTACATGTCTTCATCGATCATCTGAAATAGAGAATACGGATATTAGCTTAACATGCTTATTTAGAAAGACTAGTGTTTACTTTGAACTTACTGTGTGAGAAAGTTATACTGGAACTGTGAATAATGTAGGAATCTAGTCTCCCAGGGCGTACGAAGCACTCAAACTGGAAGACAGTTGTCACAAATTAATTCGAATATGAAGTTGAGAATTTGCAAGTACTTTTCATCGTAAAGGTGAACATATTAGATAACGGTTGACATCATACCGTAAAAATAACAAATTTGAGAGTGGTGAATTTAGGTCTATAAAAAGCTGAGCTTAATAACAGTGAGTTACCTTTTTACTCCCTGATCATGACCCTTCGGCTTCCTTTTGTGGCCGAAACAGCAAACATACACTACACACTGATAGCAGATTTCCGGCTTTTCAATGTTAAGCTTGCTTTAACGCATTACGTAATGCGTACAACCCATCCATTACTGCTATGTGGCATATTTTTTCATAACAAACCCTCTGCAATAGATTGGTAGCATCTGTGGTTGTCGGAAGCCTGGGTACTTTCGAAAACAATACTGACATCCCATACTGCTAGGCACTAAGTATTAGTTTGACTCGTTGGTGGGATATTGTTGTCCGCAATACTGAAGAAAATTAAAAACCGGAAATTGTTCCCTTTCATTTTGCCGATAACATCATAAAGGACAGTTAGGAATGAACACGCGAACAGTTAGTCACAGGAGGCAGCAACAGTTATTTCAGCTAAGAAAAAACGAACTTCGGCTTTGGATATCTAGAAAACAAGTCAAAACAAAACCGATTTTCATTTTAAAACATAAGACTAACCAGCTTGACTGAAGAAATACATTGACTAGAGTAGAAGCAGCAAAAACCCAAAAAACAATGCTGATTCGAAGTAAATTTCACACCAACATGTAGAACCCTACACTAACTGCGGCATCTTAACACATTGAAACATTAATTACATAGCTACACAAAAGAAATAGCTAAAAGAAGCACAGAGCGAAGATAGCCGACCGCCATTACGTACAAAGATGGCTGATATAATAATTCCCGCCACATTCTGATTGGTTGCTAAGCTGAAGGGCACATTTACGAAATTGAGTTGCGTTTAATTGCAGCCCAATGATGCGCATAGGCAATACAAACGTATAAGGAACGTATGCACGGGATTCAGTACCAGATAAGGGTTATCTATAAATTTGTCTCCAATCCGAAAAGCTTACTTCATTATGCAGCCTTTCTTCGACAAGCCAAAACTGGAGTCTTCCAACAGCTAGGTCCTTATGACCCGACTAATAACGGCGTGACGCCGCCCATCTACTGGCTGAACAATACTCCCGTACATTTCAACCCACTCACATAAACTATACGGATCAAAGCTTCGTCTGCAACTGCAAAAGACTTTCCGAAGTGAACCTGAGCACTAACTTGGTGTTCCGGAAACTGCAGCATCTAAGAAATAACACGTTTCCTGATCCGGATCCGGTTCATTCTGATATACTGAAGGAAGCAGATTCAATCCTGGAAACACCGCTTAGCATGATGTTCCCACGCTCGCTCAGCCGAGGCAAACTACCGGAAATTCGGAATTCGGTTCACATCACACCAATTTTCAAAAAACGTTGACGCTGCGATCCTTCAGGCTGACGATCGTAGACTCTTCGCTATACGCGTCCAAAAATTATGGAGGGTATTCACGACTATTTATTAATCATAAACTTCTTTCCATACAAACAGCACGGTTTACGAAAAGGTAACTCTTGTATAAACAACCTGCTGACTGCAGTGGACAGATGACAACCAACGTTGACCGCAAGAATAAGGTTAACATGATATATTTTGATATTTTAGGTTCAGTGTTAACTTCACTTTCTTTCAGTCCATAGAGTGTCCTAGTAAGGTTCGCTAGGGTTCACTACTAGGACCTTTTCTTTCTTGATTTATATAAACGACCTTTCACAGCAGCTATCGTCAGACTTATTACATTTTGCTGATGATGTGAAACTTTGGAGAGAGATACGTAACCAGGAGGATAAATTGGCACATCAGGAGGATACTACTCGACTTCCGAATTGGGCAGATGACAATAGACTTACCCTCAACAATTGAAAGTGTAAAATAGTCCGAGACATGTTGAAGACTACAGTTACAACTTAGGAAACTCCTCTCTAGAAGTATTACAAGTTGAAAAAGATCTAGGAGTGTTGGTACCCTACGATTTGAAGTCTTACGCTAACTGTGACGAAAATGCCTCTCAAGCAAACCTTGCAATGGTAACATTGAAGCTCATATTCGGCCAGTTTGACGGAAGAACTTTCTACATGATCTTCAACAGCTTCACTCGTCCCCATTTAGAGTACGGAAATATTGTGTCTCGTCCCTCACTCCAAAAGGATAAGGGCACTCTGGAGAGTATCCAACGGCGATCCATGAAATCAATGTGAGAACTCAAATTCAAGACTTATGGAGAGCACCTTCAATCATTAAACTTATACTAATCAGTGTACAGGCGTCTTCTGACGGCTTGCAGCATCCTTAACACTTCTGGATATTCCAATAAACATCTACTTAGATTTAGTTCCAACAGAAACCTAAAGGGTAACACTCAGGAACTGGACTCATAACACAGCAGAAAGGACTGTAGACACAACTTCCACTCCTTAGGAGTTGTCAAATGCTGGAATTGGATGTCGGCTGAGCTATTCAAAGCGACTCCCCAGGAGTCCTTTAAGAGGCAACTCGATCTATTCTTAAGGACTAAGGATAATATCTTACTATGATTTATCAATTTCTTTTTCCTCTATTATCTTTCACATATCTAGGTTCATGCCTGGAGGTGTTGATAATCCACTCTTATAAGACACGGAAGCCCGTTAAGCGAAAGCTTCTTCTATTCCGTCCACAATCATTTGAACCATTTGAAATATTTTTCTTTTAATTTCGCGCTCAGACTTTGCCCTCATTGAAAACGTCGGTGGGAATAGACACTAATTGTTCGGATTGTTTACGAATTTAAGGAGCGTTCCATCAGAAAGAAACCTTATTATTATTTTTTTCAGAGTAAAGGATACTGAAGGACCAGATTACTTGTTTCCAGGCTGAACGGCTGCTTGACCTTGGGGGCACTTCCTTTCTGTCAGCACCTGTTATAAATAAACATGCAAGTTGCTAGTCATCTTCGGTCTATTTGTGAGTTGTTTTGGTTCTAGATTTTAGAAATCAATATATAATTATCATACTGTAATGTGTGTTTGCGATGACCACTTCTTAATGCTGTGACTATAAGTTAAACCTAATGAGATTGTAGCTGCTACAATCTCAGATTGCAATGTGATTTAAATCTTCCTGTATAGTAAGGAATGAAAATGCATTAGTTAAGTGTACCGAAGCAGCAAATGGCATTAAGTAAAGTATCTGTGAGGCATTTAGGAGGTGACTAGTTCCCAATACTTGATATAATTCGGTCTTTGAATAGTCATTTTGATCACACTCAGACTTGTGTAATAAGGATAGAATACCTACGTCATGTATCCTTCCACTCCTAGTAAGCTTCTATGAGGGTTTAGTCTTTTCTTGAAAAAGTCAATTGAATGTGAGGGCACCACTGTTTCGGTTATAAGTTCCAAGAATTGATGATGTGGAAATCTGAATGCTACGGGTATTTCGTTCGTCCTTGTATTTTCTACTCTCCTTGAGTCTTCAGTAATAAAAATAGCTTAGCGAACCTGTGTTAATCCTGACAGATTGTTTGTAAGTTCACTAATGGGGCTGGTACCACTTGTTCGGGTAAGGCGTTCTAATCATTGACTACTCGATGAGAAAAACGGGACCCCACTTTAAGTTTATTAGATCTTGGTTTATGAACCTTCTTGCTATGACCTCGGAGATTATTAGTTCTGGAGGGAGCAAAAAGGTACGACATATTAACACCCAAATCATAATTAAAGATACGAAATGCTAGTGTAAGGTCACCTTGCGTCCTACGATACAACGAAGGGGAAAGTTTTAGGCGTTTTAAACGCTCATCGTAAAGGAGTTTAGAAAGACCCTTCACTAATTTCGTTCCCACACGCTGGACACACTCAAGTGAGTTAGTGTCTTTTACCAGACATGGGCTAGCTGCTTGGATACAGTACTCTAAATGTGGTCTTACATAGGTGGGATATAAAATTCGAAACATTTCCTCGTCAAAAGACTTGAACACTCGGTGAAGTGTCCGTAACGCAATAAAACCTTTGACAGCGGCTGCGTTGCAATGCGTAGTTGTTTTTAAGTCATGACTTATTAATACTCCTAAGTCTTGATGTTCTTGAACTCATGGAAGAGGTTTACCATCAATAGTATAATTGTAACTGTTACCGTGGCCGATGTGCACTAGCATACTTTTCCTAGAGTCGATTTCTAAGCCCCGCTGTCGAGCCCATCTAACTAAATCGTCTAAGTCAGCTTGGAGATCCAGATGACCAGCTTCACTTTTTATTGTTCTCCAGATTCATAAGAAGTTTCCTATCCACTCCTGTACAGTACATATTATTCTGGAACTCTTGAGCTTCTGCATAAGACCTAAGTGTGAAACCTTGTCAAATGCTTTGCTAAAATCTTTGAATATCACATCAACAGACAGACCTTTATCTAATGCTGCTGTCCAATCCTCTCGCAATAAGTAAGTTAGTCAAGCATGAACGCTTGTTCCGAAATCCATGTTGCTCAGGGGCTAACAGATTGTGTGAATCTTTGTGGCTTAGCTGCCTAACCCGAATCATCTTGTCAAGAAACTTAACGACAATGCTAGTTAGACTGACAGGCCGGTAGTTAGATACGATCTGTCTCCGACCATCCTTAAATATAGGACTGACTATAACGTCCTTCCAATCTCTAGGGAGTTGAGTGAGTGAAAGGGACATGTTGAAGGGTGTTGCGAGCAGTTTTGAAATAATGACCGCAAGAGATGACAGCAACCGTGGATGTAACCCGTCAGGGTCCGGTATCTTACAAGGTTTGAGGTTAATTATCAACGGAAGGACAGTTTCCATAGTCACATGTACAGATTCAATGGTTGGTATCTCGATGTGATTGGGACAAGTATTTGTTACAATAAACGTAGAGTAGACTTCGCTAAAATAGTTTGAAAATGTCTCAGCTTTTGCCCGATCTGATTCAGCTAGTACATCTGAATTTTCGTGTAACTAACAGGGTAATACCATCACTACGTTTCATTCGCCGTTTAACATACGAAAACAATCGTTTCGGACAAGTACGGCTATCATATTCCAACTGTCACTCGTAGGTACTACGGGATTTAGCTATGGTTTTCTTACAAATATTCCGAAATTTTTGGTACTCACGCTTAAATGATGCCTAACTTGTCAACAAAAATAAGTCGTAGAACTGTTTCCTACACTTTAACAGCTTCCATGTTTCGTTATTAATCCGTGGAGGGCAATGTGATAGCTTACGTGCTGACCACGGGATAAATGGCGATGCTGCGGACTCGAATGTAGCCTTAAACTTATTCCATTCGTCTTCGATCGATCCATCCTCGTCGACTGACCAAACAGTCGAGACAGCACAGTTTCTGATTGCCGGAATATTAGCTCGCCAGATATTAGGACGGGGTGGAGCAGATACAAACTGTATACCATGTGTCCTAAAATTAAAGTGAAGTACAAGGTGATCATTGTTCACTAGTGGGGGAAGGTGCTGAATATCTAAGACATCCTCACAGTGGTGGGTGAGGGCGAGGTCCAGCAGTGAAGGATCATGTTTCAAGTCAGTGTGTCGGTTTCGCGATACATTGTACAAGTGCACACTGAATAACAGTTGATAAAAGGTCGCTATCGAAACCACCACCTGGAGCTGTAAGCTCTACCCAGTTGATATGCGGTGCGTTGAAGTCCCCAGTGATGAGATAACATTCTGTCTTAAGATAAAGTAGTCAGCAAGACAACACGGACTACGGTATATTCCCCCTGTAGTCACCAACCCATTTCTAGATTTAATCTTACAACATGCTACCTCACATGTACCACTAACATGAGCGTCCGATACGATTGATTGTGTACGAAAGTGATCCCTAACGTATAACATTATGCCTCCCCCTTTGCGACTTAAAACTCCATCACTTCTAATACAGATATAGCCTGCAATGATGGGTGAACATTCTATATCAACGGTGAACCAAGTTTCTGTAACAACATTTATATCGGGACTTAATTCATCCACCATCATACTTAGCTCGGACGCTTTATTTCTAAGACTACAGGCGTTCGTGTAGCACACACTTAAGGTGTTTTGGTAATCATTCGTTCTACCCATACAAGCATTGGCTTCCAAGACCCGACTACCCGAAAACTCTTGATGGTAAGGTTAGTTTCGCCATTTGACTTGCTAGTTCTCAACTCCGTAAGAGCATTCTTCCACGTGATTCAATCCTCAAGCAGTCAATCTGGTCGGATACGGATATTTTAATCACGAGTTTTTTGTGCGTTTTTCAATAATATATCTCTTTCTTCAAAATTCCCAAGAACCGGCTCCAAGATCCTTCTTGGTTGGGTCTCGCCTCCAACCCATTTACCGAGTCGTATTACTTTCGTGATATGTACCCCTGAAACCTTTTCAGGTAGTACATTTCTTATCACATTCCACTAACTGCAGATAGTGTGCATATCTTTTAGCGGGGTCATTGTCTCTCGACTCCTAGATTCCAAATAATTAAAGTAGGAAAGGGGTTTAGCTTATTTTGAAATCGTGTTCACGGCTTTCGGTTTTGATGTTAGATTCTGCATATTAACCACTGGCATCTTACGATTTGTTTTTATTGTAACAGGGTCATGGGGTTTAAGCGAGTGACTCACAACAATGTTTGACGAGGCTTTACTTTGGGACTTTGGCGGAGTAGTCTGAGAGTCCACCAAGGACTTATCAAGTAAACGGGCATTAGCTTAGTTATCTTTCCTACTCTTCTGCGTTTTCGCGTCATCCATTTTCCATCAGTCGTAGTATCTACATTAGATCTCGGGACAGTAATTGTTTTGTCTAGATCACCGGTCGCTGTTGTCGCAACATGGCCACCAATATCTAATGACATGTCACTCTTTGATTGTTTCGGGGTAGACGATTCAATTGCGGGTTGCACAGTTAGATGTCTGGCTTGCGCCGTGACAGTACTCACGACACTGACGCAATCTTCGCCAGCAGTCCCCATGCCACCAGTACAGCCCTCGTCGACCTTCTTATTAGCCAACACAAGGGGGCTAATTGCTTCCTACTATGGCCTCTGAGATATCCTGATCTGGTAGGAAAAAAGAGACGACGTGTTATGCCTAAAATCATTTTTATTGCTGTTTACGTCAAAATCAGACCACCTCTTAATCTGCGGTAGAATATAGTAAAGTGGTCTAGATTCTCAAGCCTCTCATTGTATTTTAATCCCAAGAGTTCATGGATTGCACGGGCAGCTGCCCTCTGCACTTTTCCCAGGATATCCGAGTCACATTTTAGACAGTAGCTTGCAGCTTAAACGTAGTTTTCAAGTTTGGATCTCAGTAAGGTTGTGTATACGGTAGAGAACATACTGGTGTCCAACTTGGTAAATGTCCGTCTTAAAACTTTTAGGGTGGTCTTAAGGTCACAGCTCATTGCCATCCTGGGATTCCTGTGAGACAGGACTACGGGTACTGGTTCTTCCCCTATGCCGTACCTACTTACCTTTGTATCCCAAAAGTGCATGTAGACACCTGCTTCAGTCTGGGCACCTGGGCAGTATCACAGCCCACACACAATCAAGTGACTTGTGTGATGCATATGTATTCAGTGCCTCTTTGTACTAATATTTGTGTTCAAATAAATAGATAATAGATATGTAGACACTTGGCGGCGTCGATAAGCATCAGGTATCTTTTAGATCAACTGGCCAGAACATCTTAGTCCACCCGAAATGCACATGGGTTTGTGTCTCCTGTTATTCCTCTCTAGAGTTGTACATCGTCAGCGTATAGTAGCATTGGGGACTGAACTATGCTTGGGACTTCATTTACATGCAGTAATAAAAGCTTAGATCCTAGGACGTCCTTGCGGTACTCTATCAAGTACTGGTTTCCAGGCGGAACACTTTGAATATCCCTTAATTTCCTTCTGCCACCTACCAAGAAACCTTTTAACCAATTTGGAAGAGGTCCGACAATACCTAG